ATAAAACTTATACACTATATATATAATAATTATATATAATATATTATATATAAAATATACACGATAGTATATTATATATATATATATCTTATACTTATTAATTAATTATTATAAATCATATATATAGATATACGTTAACCATATATATATGACTATACATACACATATATATATGTAATACAAACATATACATATAATATGTATGACAGATACACATACATATACATTATTATTACATATACATATACAATGATATACACTAACATTACATCATGTAATACACTGTATACATTATACATATGTTTTTATAAATTAACCAACTTTTAAACATTTATGTTATATACACGTATACATTTAATATTTATATACAATACCACATACATATGTACCTTACTATACATATACATTTATAATATCTATACATATAAATGTATATACATTATACCTATACATATGTATATACAATACCTTACATACTGTATAGTACATATACAATCTATACATATCCAATTATAACATATGTATATAACATAACTATGTATTATACATAACTATACATATGTATAAACACTATACACTATCAGTATACATATAACATTTACATATATAATATACATACAATACTATGCATATACATATACATATACAATGTATATACATAACTATATGTATATACATATACATAACATATTATATACATATAAATATACCTGTATTATACATACTACATATTACAGATGTACTACTACAATTACAATACCATATGTATATACATAGACATATAACCATATGTACATATACATCCCTAACACCTATACAATCGTGTAATATAATACTACATATATACATATGCTATATACATATACATCCTACACATATTATATTACACTTATACATATTATAACATTTATACTACATAGTTATACAGTATACATAACCGTCATAAGCCAATTAACTCGCGACATTACAAATACCCCCAACTACATATCACCTGAACCCATCCTCTAACTACATCACATGTAGACACCTAACTAACAACACTCTACAAACACTAATCCACAATACTTCTCAGATATAACCACATATAACTAACCCATACTATATATATATATCCATACACCACCCTCCAACACACTATCACTTACTCATATATCAAACCTAACTATAGATGTACAATATCACACCACGAGCTCACACCCCTCATCAATAATCACCCTCATCGACTACCTATCACAATCATACCAAACTACTGCATCCTACAATACGAACCACCACAATACACCACATATCACCTACCAACTCTACACCAGGCACACCGTACGACCTATCACTGTGCAACTTACCAACGTACTCATACACCCCTAATATACCACTCGCATATACTCCCACCACCATCTAGCCTCATCACCTATCTACCTATCCTCTGCCTAATATATGTATTAACATACACCCAATCCTTCCATATGCGCAATCATCGACCACACCAGGAACCACACTATCCTAACACACATATCCTTCCATAACACGCACCCTCAAACTACCTACACACTATACCACACACTACATATACTCACCTATATCAATAACTCTACACTATATATGCTACTATGAGATCACACATCACCACCCTACATATACTCCACCAGCCCTAATTACATACCCTACCACCTACCATCCTACCATATGGCCCAAACCATATCCTTCTATACATAACCACCACACATAAAACCACCACACATACTCAGCTAATACCACCTCAATCAACTCAACTACATACCAACCACCACAACCACCCACTTACGCTATCTATGTACATATACACCATACTATACAACTTCACTAGAACCAAATATTAGCGCGAATATATACCCATATATCTACCCTACCAACACTAAATTACTACACCCACGCATATAACCCCTGCATATCCACACTCACCAACCACCAATGCCCCTACCTTCCTCTATAACGTACATCTACATACTACTCCACACATTACAACCTACCTAATTACTACTACACATACACCACCGCATCACCAATCTATATATATTATAACCAACCACTAATACACCCATCACGACAACCACATACTATACCTAACACTACATACCTACCTCACCATTACTCACCTATCACCATCATTACGATACAACTCCCTACATATATATACCTATATACTAATATCACTACCTACAACCTCAATATACTATAATATACTATACCTACTATATATACTATCACCCTACACATATATATGACCATATACATACACTACAAACCTATACACCTTAAATACTGTACAACACCTTACCCATCATACCATTAATATATACTATATGACCTATACATACTTCACATTATATACACTCTATACCTACATACACACTATACTATATACTACCTATACATACTATACACTACCTATTCATACATATACCATACTAATGCTAACACTAAATATACACTAATATATAATGTATATGTACTATACCATATAATATATTATATGTACCTATACCATATACACTTCTACAATATATATTATATGCACATATCACACTAACTACTAGTATACTACACCTATCACTAACCAATATACTATACTTGCTATATACAATTAATATATATTCATACTGTATATACAAATACATATATATATATGACACATACAACTATACAACCATATATATATTATATACCACTATCACACCCTATATATATTAGTATACATCACACATCAATATATATAATATACCACATCATACACGTCATCAATAAATCCCCTGTACCCACCCCTATACATATACAATATACTACATATATATGTAATATACCACCACCAACATATTATATATGTATGTACAACTCACACATACAATACCGCCCTATACCGTATGCACCTACCTATAGCATCACTATATATTACTGCTACTTCCTAATCATCATATAACTACCTTTACTTATACCTGTACTATAATAATAATATCAAATATAATCATACTATTATCATACTCTATCATATCAATATAACCTCATCTACTATAATAGTAACTACTACTCCACATACCACTATAATCATAATCACTAATACCATACTGAAATCATACAACCAACTACATACTACCTATTATTTATCTACCTTCGCAATATCATACATAGCTATATAACATACAAGTGCATAGTCAACTACTCGACAGCAATAACTACTAACCTCACCCTATATGACTAACTCATAAATATCACAATCTCCGTCAACTGTCCACTTACTATGGCATACCAACCTTATTAGCACATAGGCAGACCCTTACACACAACACAAGTCATCCACGAGGATAACACACCAATCCCCTCAGTGACATTTTGTGACCAAAAGACTTTGCTTTTTTCCACTTTAATTCTGAATCCCAAAATCTTCGTCCGCGAAATGCCTCAACCAATTAAATTTCTCTTCCAACTGCTGCCATGATCTCATGACTCCATCACGTCACATCACACACTGCCACCTAACATCTTTGCTTGCACGGCGAACGTGAGCTGCACCGAGCATCATTATACTAGCTCGTTCATAGAAAAACATGCCGACTCCGTGAACACAATACTTGCCTTCCGCATGAGCGAAGCACAGAACATGAATCAGCAAACGCCACCCTCCCACCATCCCCTGATCAACTAGTGCACCACAACCTCTGCAAGCCACCCTCTGGATAAAGCTCCACACTCTTTTACATAGAAAACACGCTTGTCATTATTCATCCATTACTACCAAAACTCCCCTCATTGACACATCTGCTAACACGAATAAAAACATGCTAGCTCTTGCACATATTACGATTAATGTAACAATTATCACAACAATGACTTCTCTTAACTAGTTTCAGTATAATAAGACAGTAACTTCAAATCTAAGCTCTTATTTATTCCCTATCCATAACTCTCCTAAATGCCTGATTATTTATAATGAATATGAAGAGAATTTTCATCAACAAAGAATTATAAAAATCACATTCCAAGTCAATAAAAAATAATATTCATCTGATGAAGTATAAAGATAAGTATATATAACAAAGTTTATCTATCTAATGTTATCAAAATACATATACAAATACATAAAGCACACAAAAAAGAAGACAGATGAATAATCACCCTGTTCTTTGATTGTATCTTCCACGTCTCTGATCTTATGATGGTACTCATCCTTCTCTAGTGGTGCGTGTCTAGACCAGATGTAACTTGACAACTTGTTTGCATCTCCTAGAAGGCTTTTTTCTGGATAATCTGTGGAGAAGTGAAAAGGATGAGGTCACTGGAAACAAGGCAAACTGATGAACCTGAACCACAAGAGAGAAAAAATCTACTGGTCATGATCTTCTTAAAGTATATGTGATTTTAAATCTACTAATAAGAACTGAATTTCCAGCAGGCAAAATATATGCTATGTTTCACTGGCAATCAAGATACTGAACAGAAATGATGCAACAATAACACTTGAGGATAAACAAGTTAATATCCTGCTATGAAGATGTCATCGCGGTAAAATGAAAGTTCGTCTTCTACCTTTCAATGTATTAAATGCAGCTTGAGAAAGAGCTTCAGGTAGGTGCACTACTCCCACGCCCATTCTGCCTGCATGACGGCGTGCCTTCACAGACCCATTCTTGAGAGACTCGCTGACATCGGCAGAGAGCTCAAAATTGAACTTTGTCTTTAACTTCGCTTTTGTGGAAGCATTCTGAAAATCAAAAGAAATACTGAAAATAATATAAAAAGAATAAAAACTCTTTTATGAAGAATGGGAAGACATTTTGGCATCCAATCACTTATCATTAAAAGGCATTTAAAAATATAATCAATTCAATCTGTTGTGTTCAAAATAAATCAAATCTTGATATTACCATCTAAAGATGCTTAATATGGAGAAGATATACTGATGCATGTATTTCTTTTACAGGACATGGATGTATTAGACTTTGCAAATGCATAATTTTTTTTCTTGCTTTCTATTTACAAAAATTGTAAGTGTATAAGCATCAAATATTCTTTCAGAGATTTTAACTGTAAAAATATCAAATACATTAAACAAAATACCTATGACATCCATTTACAAACTTTTTTGTCTAACACCCGCCCCCCCCACACACACATGTATATATATATATTTTTTTAAATTCCTTATAGGGCCAGTCATTGTGACATAAATCAAGCATGATCAACTGGAGGCACTGGTGGGCAAAAACAACAAAATACCGCGAACTCCGTCATCAAGTTATTATCTGCCGCAAATATTTTTCTTCTTCTTGATTTATATAAAATTTGTATCCATTTTCATCCATTTCTACAATACTTTGACATGGTAAATAGTTGCAAAGGTGCAAACAGACAGAAAAAAGGTTCAACATTGAGTTTTAATTTTCTGCTGAAAGACCCTGAGAAAAGGAGGCTTTAGCTTGCTGCTATCAATCGCAAGAACTTTGATCCTGCACCTGGGAGTGATGTTGAGTTTGTGGAATACCATTTTTTAATGGTACGTATGATAGCTTTTCCATATAGATATTTTAGAATTCAAACTGTTATGTTATACCATCATAATTCTTCATAGCGGATGTATTTCCCCATGGTTAGGCCTAAGCTTAGGTAGAGGAAGATTTTGTGGGTGACTGACTGGCTACAAATGGGGATTTTCTTTCACTTTAAGTCTCAATCTAATTTTATTTTAAAACTGTCTGATATTGCAACAATAAATGTCACCATAGATTTTGCAAATACTTTTGGTAGTGACAATGCCATCAAGAATTCTGCCAAGGACAGGCCAATAAGACGGGGTAAGCAATATAAAGCCTTTATTTAATTTCACTGGATCTAAAAGCATTACTTTTTGCAGGTAAAGCATCAACAAGTTCTTGCAGTCCAGATTTTGTAAGAGAATAGTCTTCATCTAATATGAAAAAATAGGCAGTAGGACTTGCATCAACACAAACGTGTGAGGGGCATTTGGCAAAACACAGGAAAACAGGTGTTGGCTATTTTTTTAAGGAAAGGTAGCAGCAACTAGCAACAGCTAGTCCTGCCCTCCAACTCAGTGTAGATGTTCCTGAATGAAGGTTGGAAAATATTAAATGGGAACAAACAAGAAGATAGTCAATCTAATGATTGCTACACTGCCCTATCAATTTCAGGATATTTGCTTAAATCTTTCCAAGGTATCTAATTAATTAAACGAGACTTATGATAATAATTGCATGGGAATGTAAATTTAACGTTTTAGAAAAGTCTGGTTATGTCTGAAAAATATATATAAAACCCGTTTTGAGCAACTTTTTGAAAAACCAGGCAAAGAAGGCAAAGAGCGAGCAAGAATGAATTTCACAAGTTCAGGAGGTAAGAATTTAAGCTTACGATTATGAACCAGTCTTATAAACAGTAATGAGTACTAACTTGTATGCTTTCAGATATTTGTGGGCCTTTAAATTTTCTTGCGTGTAAAATCCAGGCATTTGGATAATACAATGTTGCCAAAAAAAAAAAAAAATCAGGCCATCCTGGGCTGTCTGACCCTAATAAAGAACAGGGATCTGGTAATCTTTTTGTACCCTTGACAGATTGACCAATTATCTAAGATCACCTACTGCATCAACAGCTATGGTCATTAACAGCAATCATCAGGCATATCCATGTTGCTCGTGTGGAAGCCAAAATGCATCTGACAAGCCTTCATAGTATTGTCATGTAACTGACATTGTTGCGACATTACACTTGTATACATAAGACTAGACATTATGATTGGGAACATATGCAATGATATAGTTATACAACATACAGTATAGATAATAGAAGACCCATTAATGATAAAAGATACAAATAAGGCACATCCAAAAGAACATTTAGCGATAATGCATTATATATATATAAAATGCATAAGCACACATGGCACACTCTCATATATCTACACCTGGCATAAAAAATCTGATAAAATAGAATGCAATCAGCAGAAAGTGAAATCAACCCCAAAGTTGTTTCACAAAAATTCTCCCACAAAGAATTAAGCACTGTGCATGGCCCATGTATCATTAACACTCTTGGACAACATATATCCACCATATATATTCAGACAAGATAGGGTATTTCCTACCAAGAGGGACACATCCTCTACAGACTAAGTCCTGAAACCAGAGTATTATGTGAACCAAAATCCCAAACCTAACCTCTCCTACCTGCTCTCTCGTACCCCCCCCCCCTCCTTTATTAGCATTTCGTGCCAACTTATAAGTAATGGACATTAAGAATTCTTGCTCAGTGAGGGCGTTATGGACAGTGATATCCAGTGAACATTTATGTCATTTTGTGATAAGTATAAGGTCACGGCAGCAGTTAATGACTCAATTTCTTATGCTCTTTAAGATTTTGACATCCATTTCCCTCTATCTCTGTACATCGCTCACAGCAACATTAACCCAAGATAAGAGCTCACAGACCATCCTGGTGATTGTTGTCAAATAAGGATGTCTATGCTCAATCAAGCCAAATATATATTTTGCAAAGGTTTTCTGGCCTTAGGCATTTTGACAAAGATGTATAGCCCATCTCTGTTTTTCGATATGGTCTGCGTGGTGATATGCAGCGGACATTTTCATCACTTACCAGTAAATGTGAGGCCACTAAAGCTTAAACTAAATTGCTTCTAGCTCTATTTCTTATACTCTATAAGATAGCAGTGTCCATTTCTCTCTATCTCGGTGCGTTGCTCTTAGTAACTTATACCACCCACTATAAGGAATATCAAATGTTTATACCATACCATCTGTGGCTTTCATTCTTTACTGTTCCTTTTACTAACTGTATACTACCCAAATTGACTCGAAAATACTCCAAACTTTCAGTGATCCGTGAATAATGGCCTGTAAGTTAAATCACCACCAAGTAATGAAGTGCTAGATAACAACTGCTGTCTCCACATACTAATTTACAGAACTGAGAGCATAATTCACAACGAATACACTGCATTCTACTTAAATTGAATAAAAAAGGCCAACTTTGACTACATAAGTGCTAGTGATATGTTGCTATAATGTTGAACGATTTTACTCACCCGGACATGCACGCAAATCGGCAATAATCTTCTACTTAAATGCATGCTAAAAAATGTAATGCCAGGATCGTAGGAGAATGAAAAGTAATTAAATTCAACAGAATGTTGCTCGTCCGTGACACGTCCGGCGTCCACATAACGTGAGAAATGAAGAGTAACGTGTGAATGTTTTGAAAGTTGTTCACGGGATCACTAAATGACTTTTTTTTGTTGCTAATTTGCATTTCATAATGGCAATTTTACAGAACACCTTCAATATAATCTAAAATAGAGGGTGGTGAGTAACAGTCATTTTAAACAAAAAAAATGATTTTCTGCATTTCAGAGGACAAACTGGGACCACGGGGGGGGGTGGGGGGGCAATATGAACATTTTGACGTCGGAATAAACTGAATTTTATTTCACCAACAGTACCTACCTATAATTAACTCTCATATGTCAATAAATTGGAATCCTTCCGTAAAGTGTTCCTGTCCTATAGCTAGTGACACAATTACACTGAAAAGATTCCAGTCACTAAACGGGACTATGGAGATTATTCTATATTGGCCGGAGCCACTTAATAAAACAGGGAACTACTGACTTGTTTTATCATTATTTTAAGAACAGACCCTGAAGTAAAGGTAGTGGGAAAGGATAGATCAGTAGCAACTCGGAGGTGTCATGGAGCCTGATTTAAAAAAAAGAAAAGAAAAGAAAGAAAGAAAAAAAGAGGTTTATTTTGATGACGTCACAAAAGTTACGAATGCTTTGTGAATATGGTCGATCATTTTGGTCTCTTCAGTTTTCAAAAACGATGGAAAATGATTTTAATGGTTATGTTTTCATTAAACAACCACGACATCATGACGCGTCCTCGAGTTGCTACTGATCTAGCCTTTCCTTAAAGGTAGCTTTACCATAGGAATACGGACGTACAATACAATTTGAATCAAATTACAAAACTACAAACATTTTTCATATTCAATTTCAAATATAGGCAGAGGCATCGAGAATGGTTCTAAAGCACTTGAGCAAAAATTAATCAGTCAAACCTTATGATTTAAGTCAGATGTTTAGATTTTCATTTTCAAGTGCATTACTTTTTTATACATTGTCTTAATCTTTATTTTTGCCTAAGGCCCGATTTTCCTTTCAACCTTTAAATGCTGTTGATAAAAGTACTACTGACCATGGCAGTGCATCTCAAAACAAAGCTATCTGAAAACGTTACATTTTCCAGTGTAACGATATTTTTTGTGCAGTTGCATCTCTCTCTCTCTCTCTAAAAAAAAAAGGGGCTATCTGAAAAACTCTTCCAGTGTAACGATATTTTTTGTGCAGTGGTGGCATAGAAAGGCTTCCGTGTTATAGCCAGGATTTATGAAATTCTGGCTAATGGCAGCTATTAACTCTTCGAAAACCTTGGCAATTACTATTTCCAGGGTTAAGTGGATAAATTCCAGCTGTAAGTATGCATTCTCGTACAAGAACTTAGATAACTGATGGAGTTCTCAATGTAGCCATGTGCTGTACTGTTCGTTGGTAGTTGGTAGTTTGTGTAAAGTGTAAAATAAGTTCATATATTTTTTTTTTTTTGTTTGTTTGCCAAGTTCCTTTGCGCCATGGCATGTCCCAAGCTTTATGATTTATGGTGAAGAAAGTCATAAATGATATAGATCAGAATGTAAACAAGTATGGGGTTTGCGGGTAGGTTAAGGAGTTATTATATTTTTTATTTATTTATATAACAATTTTTGCTTGTCAGGAATTCTGTTAATGAGGTTGAGGGCTTTAAAAAAGTATAGAGCATCCCCTCCCCCCGCCCTCTTCCCCAGGTTGATAGGGTATTTTCAACTGAAAATTTAAATGGTTATGTTGGCTACATTATATATATATATATATATATATATATATATATATATATATATATAT